AAAAAACTGAATGCACYTAACACACAATCATGCCATGCAGTTCATTGTAGGAATGTGACAAGTCACTAATACATGTATTAGTAATATGTCAAAAACAGCAAAGAGTTTTGTTTATCAATTTTCTGTCTTAGAAATTTCCATATAATCTTGAACTACCTGGTATTTAGCAAGCCTGTGATCAATGCATATTTTATAGTCAAATGACTATTTATTTTTGTGGTAGAAAGTGAACAGCTCTCAAAATTGTCAGAATATTTGTTCAAGAAACGTTTATTTTGAATAAATATGATTTTCATATAATTCGACTATTTCTCTAACCAATTATTTGGCAAAAATAAAAGCTAAATTATATATATGATATCAAAGAGGCAAGATTTTGCTGTTTATCATTAAATACTGTCTGATGAGTGCGTAGCACGAAACTCGGAGTTACAGCAAAATCTTGCCTCTTTGATATCATATATATAACTAGCTCTACACTTTTTGTGTATTGAGCACTCTTTAATGGGATCAGCTACTTCCTCATACGATTAAAAGCTCAATTATATATATTGAGGTACACAATAATATGTAAAAAAATGTTAAAATAATTTATGTCATTTCATATCATTTCAGTCTTTAATAGGAGACAATCAGGCCATGATTGGTCAGCCAGTCATCAACAAAGACTTGTGTACACAGACAGATATTGGTTGTCCTTCCAGTTTAGGGCAAAGCACAGAAACTTCATCTCAACAAAAGCCATTTGTTTTCCATGCAGAAGATGTTAAAGATGAAGAAGACAGTAGCATAGATGGAGATRGAATTATTGATGCAATGTTGAAAGTTCTTGAGAAAAAAAATGATGGAAACGGCACTGAAGCAACAGATAACTCTGTCATCAATAAAGATAGTGATGAGAATATCAAAAGYGCACTTCAGGAGGGAAATGACGTTACTAGACATTTGGTAGAATTTACAAGTGAGAACAACAGTCAAGCAACAGATTGCATACTTCAGGACAGTCAGGAGGAAAATGGAAATGACACTGACTCTTTGATGGAATTCACAAGTGACAAYARAAGTGAAGCAKGGGATGTCTCTGTTCTTGWCCATGGTCAGMAGGAGAAATGTGCAAAATGGTCACCTTGCAAAAAGAGAAAAAATCTTTTCAAATGCTCTTATTGCAACAAGAAATTCAGTACAAATAGTCATTTGATTATTCATATAAGAATACACACTGGAGAAAAACCTTTTGAATGTTCTTACTGCAAAAAGAGATTTACACAAAAATGTACTTTAATATTTCACTTACGAAAACACAGTGGAGAAAAACCTTTTGAATGTTCTTACTGCAAAAAGAGATTTACACAAAAATGTACTTTAATATTTCACTTACGAAAACACAGTGGAGAAAAACCTTTTGAATGTTCTTACTGCAAAAAGAAATTTTCTAGAAAAGACAATTTATGTATACACTTACGATTGCACACTAGAGATAAGCTCTTCAAATGTTCTTACTGCAAAAAAGAATTTGCCATTAACAATGCTTTAAGACGACACTTAAGAACACACACTCAGGAGAAACCCTTTGAATGTTCTTACTGCAGAAAGAAGTTTTCACAGAAGGCTAATTTGATCCGTCACTTACCATTGCACACTGGAGAGAAGTCCTTTGAATGTTCTTACTGCAAAAAGAAGTTTTCACAGAAGGGTAATTTGACACGTCACTTAAGAGTACACAATGGCGAGAAGCCTTTCGAGTGTTCATACTGCAAAATGAACTTTTCTCACAAGGCTAATTTGAAGCGTCACTTTAAACGACGACACAATGGAGAGAAGCCCTTTGAATGAAAGACGTTTTCACATAAKGGYATTTTGACACSTCACTTACAATCATTACRCACTAGTGTGAAGCCCTTAAAGTGAAACCAGAAATTGATATGAACGAGTACTTTACGTGGTGTTAAATAAACGAGCAGGGGTTAGTTATGAGGTGTAAAGATTCGGGCCGAAGGCGAAAATGTTTATACTCGATAAACACAATTTGCGATTTTATTGAATGGCTTCAAAAACTCCAAGAATAATTGAAGTAACTCAAAGCTTTAATTCATCCCACATCGAATGCGCATGAGGTAATGTACTAGGTATTTTTTTTTCTGTAAATGGTTGAAATCATTCTGCATTGGTCAATGATGAGATTTTAACCTGAGACTTCTGCGATAGGATC